AACCAAAAAGCGATGGCCTCCAACCTAAAAGAGATGGCCTCCAACCTGACAGCAATGGCCTCCGACCCAAAAGCGATGGCCTCAACACGAAGGCCTCCAACCTAAAAGCGATGGCCTCCGACCTAAACGCGATGGCCTCCAACCTAAAAGCGATGGCCTCCAACTTAAAAGCAATGGCCTCCAACCTAAAAGCGATGGCCTCCAACCTAAAAGCAATGGCCTCCAACTTAAAGCGATGGCCTCCAACCTAAAAGAGATGGCCTCCAACCTAAAAGCAATGGCCTCCAACCCAAAAGCGATGGCCTAAACGCGACGGCCTCCAACCTAAAAGCGATGGCCTCCAACCCAAAAGCGATGGCCTCCAACATAAAAGCAATGGCCTCCAACCTAAAAGCGATGGCCTCCAACCTAAAAGCAATGGCCTCCAACTTAAAGCGATGGCCTCCAACCTAAAAGCGCTAAAAGCAATGGCCTCCAACTTAAAGCGATGGCCTCCGAAAAAAAAATACAAATAAAACGCAACACCAGGACTGATCATGCGGATCATGACATGATCACGGATGCCACAGCTTCACTCAGTTTGCTAGTCAAGGCACGACCGAAGAAAGGAAAAGGCTGCTCGAATTACATCATCATCGCCTAAACTTGAAAAAACATTCTCTCTCATTTTCTCGAAACTGATTTGATCGAAGCGAACTTCCTGAGGTGAAGACTAAGTTGTTCCAGGCCTAGGTCCGTGTCGCCGTTGCACCGGCCAGCCCCGTCACTTTTCGTCTCCCCTGTCGTCCATCTCCCCTGTGCACGTTGCACGGCTTGAAGGCGTGTCTTGCGTGGGCCCTGTGGCGTCAGTGCTTTTGGGGGTCACGTGGAACCTGCCACCTCGAAGCTGCCAAGCTCTGTCCGAATTCGCCGAATTCGCCGAGGGTGTTGTGTGTTGCATGTAGGAGGTGCTTTCGCTGGCGTCGCGAGGCCTTTGCAAAACACTGTAGATTCACACTGTAGATTCTGTGGGATGAACACACCGTGAAGGAAGGCCACAAATCAACCAGTCGAACTCCGGTCTGGCTGGGCCATTGCGGATGGCGAGCGCAGCAAGGGGCGGCCGAATTCAACGAACGACCACCCGGTTCTGCTTTTCCATCCCGCATGAACCAGTCATTTTAAACATGTATAGCCTGTATAGCTCCTTGATTCCATTCTGGTGTTTAGTATTATTGTTTCGAATGATTTATCATGTTTCGAAGAGTGATGCCGTTCCTAGTGGGAGCCTCTAGTAGCGTCGTTGCCCCAGTGCTGACCTCGTGAAACGTCGAACACGTCGTCCGTCTCTGCGAAAGCGATGCCCCCAAGGCAAGGCGCTAGTAGCAAGCTCCGAGAGCGGCAAGCAACTGTTGCCCTGACAAACGGGAGGGTTTACGGAATGGTTTTGCAAAAACACAAAGAGGCAGAAAAGCTAAGTCAAACGAAGTCTACGACTTGTGTGCTTTCATGTGCTTTCTATACCTACTTCTAGTCTACATCTACTTTTTCTAATTATTTCGCTTGCTTCGTTCGTTTTCCATTTGGCTTCTTTCGTCTTCTTTCCGACTTTTATCCGACTTCTCTACGGACCCTCGTTGACCCTCTTGGACTCGAAGCGACCTCGCCTGCCCCATCTTGAATGCCGGCTTGGAGCCAAAGCAGCTGATAAAGCTGAATATATCTGCCCCTTTTCTTGCGTTCTTGTTTCTAGTAGTACTAGTAGTATGCTCCGTTCGTAGCGAGGCCAGGAGCCCCTAGTAGCGCTTCTGCGAATCAGCTTTAGACCTTCTTCAGAATGTAATTGTCCATCTACAGCGGTTTGGGCGTTTCTTTGATGGTCCAATGCCGAACGCTGAAGACCACGGTGCACGAAAAACATGCGATTGCATGTGTCGACCGCACAGCCCACGCACGGCCTCGCTGTCGCATCTCCCTGTACAAGAAAGCAAGAAAAGTATAATCAACAGGAGCGATCAGACGCTACTAGTAACAAGTGCCTTACTAGTAGTAACAAGAACGCTACTAGGGGCTCCTGGCATCGCTACGAACGGAGCGATCGGACGCTACGAACGGGAACGATGCCGACCTCAGGGCGATCTCTGAGACCTGATTCTCAAACGCTCATGGCGATCTCCGATCCGTGTGGCTCGTGTGATGCTACTAGTAGCATTCTTGTTACTACTCGTAAGGCACTTGTTACTAGTAGCGATGCACTTGTTACTAGTATAGCTTCTTGTGCTAAGCATAATAACCAAAACAACATTTACAAATCAGAATGACATGCGTTTTCTGCTTCAGTTTTCTGCTTCCGTTCCTTGAGAGAAACAAGACGCTGTCTGTAAAGCCAGAGCTCTTGCGATAGTTTGTGTGATGAATGTGCTAAAATATGAAAACACATCATTTACTGGGCCTCAACGGCGAATGAACTGCCTTGATAGCAAAATCATTGGACGACGATGACCTTGAGCCACGACTATGAGGCCCTCTGGTGATGCGGTGCGGGTCTGGAATTCGACATGCCTTTGTGGCCTCGATTAAAAAAGCTTGTTTTGCTCGAGAACCGCTAGCGCTGGTGTGCAACTGCACCAGCGAAGTAGCGTCTTCCAGGTGGTTCTCGCTGTGGTCCTTGATAAACAAAATCAGCTTATATGAATTCAAACGTTCGAGAATAAACATCATGCGCCAGTAAAGCTTGGGCCCACACAGCAATGTGGGTTCTGTAGAATTAATCCGGAACTGCCCCAGGAACAAAAAGAGGTGCTAAAACTTGCAATTGAACTCCGGTGAGAGATGTCGTTACAGCATGGCTAGAATCTCAGACAGCGTCTTTGTGAGTTTTCCTTGTCTCATGAGTCATCATGAGTTCGCTGCAATGTCCATGCATGCTTGGGTGCGTCTTGGGTGCGTACAGTATTTTGAGCAGCACGCTCACAGTGTTCACTGCATTGCGCAGCCATGAATGAAATGCTCCAGCGCTGGTACGCCCGTCTCAGGTTTGTATAGGACGAAGATTGAGCGGATGTTTCTTGTTTCAACGTCTGCCCTCTCAAGTCATCTCAAATCTCGAAGCACTTATCGACATGAAGCGACACTGACGGGTCAGAGCAGCACACCTTCAAGGAAGCTCTTGCCCACTTTGTTATGTGTGGAGTTTTGCCGTGAATCAAGCAGTGCAGGAAAACCTGTGCAAGATTCCTGGTCAACGGACACTCTTCAGTGGCAACTGTCTTCGTCGCACAAAGGTACAGGACATTCATAGCACCGTCCACAGCTGGAAAAACCATTTCGTAGGCTTCAAGGTCAATGCGGCAGCGCATTCGATAGTCAATCCAGAGGATGATCCCATCTGGACAGGACTTGAACCACAGCGGGCAGTTGTGGATCAGACATTCGAGGCCTAAGACTGGGCAGCTGGCAACTTGTCGATAGTGGTCTGGCCAATACAAGTACATACCAGTGAATATCACGAAACATGCACTAAAGTAGTCGCCGAGATGCACCTATGGGCTGCAAGCAGCTGGAAATCAGTTTGAGCTTTGTCAAGTAGCTTGCGGTTCTCCGGGTTCAGTTTGTGCGTCCGCTCTGGTGTCGCGAACGAGAGCAGACTTTGCTTGCAATACGTCCGTTCTGCGGCAAGGGAACACTCAAGAGCCATTCGTACAAGCTTGGAAAAACTTCCACAAGAGAGCCGTGCCTACCAACATCGTCGATAAACTTCAGCAAGTAGCGAATGAAAACCTCCAAGACAGAGCAACAAAGTACATCGCTGGATAGCGAAGGCAGCTACAGCCTTTCCCTTACTCTTACTTGATCGGCCGCCTCCGGCCGCGATGGTAAACGGCTCGCCGCTCGAAGGCAACTGGCAGATTCGGCCTGAGAAATGTCATGAACCATTTTTCCCGAATGCGTAGCGAAGGGTTCTCGTTTAACTCTTGGGGGTCTGGGGGTAGAGCCTTGTTCGCGATCCGTTGTTTCTACGTCCGCAACCGTCCGCAACCGTCCGCAACCGTCCGCAACCGTTCGCAACCGTCCGCAACCGTTCGCAACCGTCCGCAACCGTCCGCAGCCGTTCGCAGTAGAGCGCTAAGGCGCTGCCATTGGGGGAAGCTTTTTCAAGTGACTATGCATGGATGTGTCACGTGTGAGTTTGCGACGCTAGTCCATTGTGATTTGCGTGAAAATGACATGTCGTGCAAGAAGCGTGATGCATTTCGCTGCACAGGCGCAGCGTTTCGTGAGATCCGCAGTTTGCGTCGCAGTTCCATTGGGATTGGGGGAGAGTCGTGTGTTTGGGGTGTTGGATGTGGCTGTGCCATTGGGATTTGCGTTTCAGGGCGTGGCATCGAAGCTCTGTTTTCGTGACAAGTCTCAGCTGAAATGCCAATTTTGGTGGATGGGAGTATATGCTCAGAACGGGTCGAAATCATTCCAAACGTGTGGTGTGGTGCGAATTTTGTTGAAGCTCACATGAGATGATATTGTCACTTTTCGTGGCAGGCGCAGGACTTTGTGCGGGTTTTGAGGTGTGGAAGTGGGATTTTCCTGGCAGGCGCAGGGAATCGTGAGGTTGCGAGGTGTGACGGAGGTGACATTTCGTGGCAGGCGCAGTACTTTGTGCGCGTTAGACGTGTGGACGCGGAAAGATTCGTGGCAGGCGCAGGGAATCGGGAGGTTGTGAGTTGTGGTAGAGGTGAATGTCGCTGTCGCATTGGGATTGGCGTGTGAGCGGGTGTCGTTTGGAGGGGCTGGAATCGCGAATCTGCTTGGCAGGGCTGCGTGATGTGTGTGTGCTCCGATGGGTGTTTCCGCTGGACTTTTGGAGGAAGTCTCGCGCGAAACGTTCGTGTTGCAGACTTTGACATGTGAGTTTTTGAGGAAGTCTCGTACGAAACGCTCGTTTTGGGGACTTGACATGTGACTTTTGGAGGAAGCCTCGTACGAAACGCTCGTTTTGGAGACTTGACGTGTGACTTTTGGAGGAAGTCTCGTACGAAACGCTCGTTTTTGAGACTTGACGTGCGACTTTTGGAGGAAGTCTCGTACGAAACGCTCGTCTTGCAGCCTCGCAACGTGACTTTTGGACGAAGTCTCGTGTACAAAGAGTGTGCCCTACAGGAGTGTCCCACAAGAGTTTCCTACAAGAGTGTTCCACAAGAGTGTCCCACAAGAGTGCCCCACAAGAGTCTCCTACAAGACTGTCCCACAAGAGTGTCCCACAAGAGTGCCCCACAAGAGTGTCCTATAAGAGTGTCCCACAAGAGTGTCCCAAATGAGTGTCCCACAGGAGTGTCCCACAAGAGTGTCCCGCAACAGTGTCCCGCAAGAGTGTCTCACAAGAGTGTCCCGCAACAGTGTCCCGCAAGAGTGTCTCACAAGAGTGTCCCTTAAGAGTGTCCCACAAGAGTGTCCCACAAGAGTGTCCCGCAAGAGTGTCCCAAATGAGCAGGGTTTCTTTTTATTATGTGAGGTGTTATCATTTGTAGTTGCCTACGCCATGACCCTACTATGGCCTACGCCACCACAATGGGAGCCTACGCTGGACAAGGGGAAAACAAAGTTGCCTGCGCCGAGGCTACGCGCGTGGGGTTTTTGCTTACAACGTTCTGCGTGCCTACGCTGCCATTGGGTTTCAGATAACCTGCGGGACTTTTCAAGATGCAGATGAGTCAGAGTCAGAGGAATTAGACGCGTCGGAACTACTGGAGCTATCGCTAGCAGCCTGCCTTAGGCAAGCTGTCTGGCGACGCTTTTTGGCGGCAGCATTACGCAGCCGGAGAGCGGCAGCAGACAAAGCCTTCTCAACTTCTGAGCGGAAAGGCCGCAATACAGGAGGCGGGGCAGACTTCTGGGATCCATGCCGCCTTACAATTTCATTGATTTGGCCGGGCTTTGGGCCAGAACCTTCCCATGTCTTCTCAGAGTTCCAGAAGCCACGACGCCATTTCTTGGGATCTGGTGCCAAGTCGTCTCCATCTGCATTGTTGTCGGCAATGTCCGGCTCTTCATCTGCAGGCGCTGCTTGGTTTCTAGTCTCTATAAACCAGCCATGGAGCACAGCCCCCTCAGAGTCGCTGAACAGTTTGTTCTTTAAGCGGATGCCATGAGCGTATCCTGGGACGAAATCAGTGTGCAAACAGTACGTCCTGGTGATCAAGAAGCCGGGGCGTTGGAAAAAGGTACGAGTCTCAGGTCGAAGCTCTCCAGGGTCAAAGGCTTCAATATGGAATTTTGGCCCTGTAGGGTCGGAGTTCACCATATATTGGGCCCCTGAACGGTAGTATTGCACCAAATCGCGAAGACCATGAATGGGTTGCTTCTGCAAGAAATCCTCTATCCAAGCACACCCCCATCCAAAGAGTCGGTCTACCGGCCCCTTGCCGTGCTGCTCCCCTTGGAAATGCACTGTTACCTGAGATAGACTCCGATGAAGTACATTAGCGACAACAGAGGTTCACTAGCAAGCGCAAAGGTAAAGTAAGAAAATGTACTTTTTCGTAGCTAAATGCGACCGACGTGCAGGCACTTGAAGCTCTTTAGGTAAATCATGCAAGTAGAAGGCATACGGCTCCCGGCTGCGGAAGTGGGGGCCACAGTCACATACTAAATGCAGACGCTGTACCTTGGACCACTGGTACTCCGGCTTGCCTTGCACGACCGCAAGAAGTCTGGAGAGAAGGAGCCGGGCCATCTGACTGTCGTGGTCCAGCACGACAGATACAAGCAAGAAGTTGAAATTCTTGCGCCCTGGACTGTGAACAGTGCATCCAAACACAGTGAGAGACAACTTGTTTTGGGCGTGGAACTCTTGCCCTGTCTCTTCTTTGGCCATGGGGTACCGCACGTTCTCCTTGAAGCCGAAGTGCATATTAGGCCTCTGTGTTAGGAAGTTTGTCCAGCAAGGCTGTGGAAAATTCTCGTTGTCTGTCTGCTGATAATTTGTGCCAGGAGTATGCCTCCAAGAGCTCTATGTGTCCTTTGAGCTTGTGACAGGCTCTGGCTTCAGTTTGGCGCAACTCTAACCGGGAAGTGCGGGACAATCCCTGGCGATCAGGATCGTTCTCACTCTCCGGCACTACTTGAAAATCTCCGGCGTCCTTCAAACCCTCATGAGAAGCTTCAAGCTCCAAGTCAGAATCGTCCGCAGCATCTGCAGACCAATGTTGAACATGATGCTGCCTGAGCAAACTGAAACAAATTACTCAAACATTCGACACATTGGCAGGGCAAATATTAATGAGTGACGGCGCCCAGTTGCGTTGACGGCCTGTTCTCTTCCAACAGATCCGATTTCTTGCATTCAACCAAAAATTCTGCAGCGACTTCTCTGGCACCTGATCGAAATCGAAAATATCTTGCAGCAACAATAGCTGTCCAACTGCAGTTCCGTTGGAACCAGTGGGGGATAAAGGCAAACAAGTAAATCAGGACCACCACACATGTCGTCCAACGTCAAATGCAAAACGGATGACCTTTGGTGATGTTGAAGTCGCTACTGGCACTCGTATCCACGAACTTCTCCTAGCCAGGTTTGGAAATTGTAAGCATTGAAAGTTGAAGGCTCGGAAACATCCAATAATATGTAGGCTTGCTTCCGCTGTCCTTTGAACCGGTGTTGCTGGGGGGCCGGGGGTTGCTGACTTACAATGGAGCGCTTGATGAGCATTTGGGGTGTTGCAAAGCTATCAACTACTTCAACTTTGGACGGGCTCTCCAACATCTGTTCAAAGTACGCGCAAGAAACGCACAAGATAAGACTGACCAAAACAACTGCCCATCGCCTTGACGCACCCCTCCATGGCATCTCCGCTGCGCCAAGCGTTCGCACTCAGACAAATCACCTGAGTATTTGCAAGTGCCGAAGTCATGTTGTCTTTTCTCTTACGAAGGCGTGCAAAGCGTCAAATTCATTTCGTGATTTCAAGTAGTTGCAAAGACGGGCTGCCCTGTTCTCATCGCCTGCGTTTGTTCGTAATCAGTTCATGGTGGATAGTTGTTGGGCACACAATTGCAGTCCGAGGCGCTCGATGTTCGAGGTCTTTCAACCAATCATTGGTCTGGCCAATTTCATAACGCCATTGCCAAAGTTCCTGGCCAGTCTGACCACTAAAAGTGAGCACTCGGGAAGAGTATGGAACAAGACTGAACCGTCTCCACATTCACCACGTCCCGTTTGAAACTTGACTTCAAGACTCTGAAAGTGACCAGACTTTGAAAAAGGGGATTCGGGATTCACCGCTATAATAGAGAGAATCATCAAGAGCGAAGCAAAGCTTGTCCAAGTTTCCTGTTGGACCTCAGCGTGCGCGTTGTCTTCAAGCTGTTTGCTGTAGAGTTGGTGCTTCATCAACTCATCTCTTAGACCTGCCCCCGTGGTCCCAGCCCACGAATGTTCCAGGCAGGATTCTAATTCTGAAAGTTGAAAAGTGAACATCATCAGGGCATACCAAAGCCCGCTGTTCTTCAGCCTGCGATGGAAGCCTCATGCTTTGCTTGCGTCTGAGCCAAGGCAACCATCCGCTCGTGAGTTTGCGTGACCTCCAGTCTTTGCCGTCCACGTCGCATTCAGCTTGCAATCCGGTGTTAAAAAACCATGCACTGTTGCTTTCAATTCAAGACATCACGCATGTTCTGCGGGCGACTTGTGACCAAAGGACCTTGTCATGCAAGTACTGCAGACTGTCTATGTCCGCCTTTCTTTGCAGGCGACAATAGATATCCTGGCTCACATGAGATTCGATCTTCAAAGAGCCGAAACACGCTAGACTATTTGCAGGAGTTCTCCAAACAGTGCAATGTTTGAAATGTCAAAGATGCGGACCATCTCCTGCATCCAGTCAGAAACACGCCAACACCAGTCCATGGCAAACGTCCAATGGATGAGCGCGTGACAATCTTCGAGTCAGTGAATCGAAGCTAAATCCAGGCTGCAGAGAATAAACTACCCATTTTGGCAAGAAATCACTTTTGAAGAAATAGTGTGTTGCTGCTGTCATGATCAAGTCGCACAAGAAAACAATTCAGCTTCTCAAACAGGCCAATGGCACGGCGCAGCACCCAGTTTCTCGCAGAGAGTTGTGGTTTGGGATCTCGGAGATTGAACAGAAACCTTTTGATCAAAGCATTAGCCGTTGCGGCGGTGTTCGCCGACTTGCCTACTGCTGCATTTTGAGTTGGCCAGGTTTTGTTTGGCCAGCGACTGTCATGCAACAAATCGTCATCAGCAACTAATTACTGTAGATAGTCAAAATCAGCGTGTCGATTTGTGCATATGTGATATCATCGAAACTTGACCATAGCTGGCCCACAATGACCAGGGAATTCCACATTTCCACTTGATGACAATCACTTGATACAGTATCAAGTGGGATAAAGAAATCATCCTAGTCAATGGATGGGACATGAAACTGTGTCAGCGCAATCATTACGTAGCGTATCTGTATTGTACTTTTTGATTCCTCATCTTTGAGTCAAACATGTTTCTCGCAAGAAGCCGCCCAGGTGCAACCTGGCTGCTGCGCAGTCAGAAAGAGTCAGAATCTAGTCAGCATTGGCAGGCCCCGTCAGACACCATGCATTCATAACCTCGCACAATGATTGTGGTGCCATGTTGAAAAGGTGAAACACCCCATCTCTCCACCAAAGCTATGGAACAAAATTGGTTGTTACACCACAGAGTTCAACTGCAAGCTCACCCAATGTGGCGAAACCCAGCTGTCTTTGCACCTTTCCAGCTGAGCAATTGATGTTCTGAACACGGCCACTTGACAGCTGCATCAAAACATGAACATGCTTTTGATAGATCCCCTGCACCAAGTTTGCAAGTAGTGGAAAATCTGCATAGTGCGGTGGCACTAACACTGTTTTCTCTGGTTTATTCAGGACATCTCACAGTTTTGAGGGGCTGAAGCTACGGATGGAAACTGCCAAACAAACCAAGACATGCGGGGGCCTTCCCAACGCCAGGGTTCAATCAAACGCGAAAAACAGTGTGTTTTTCTGATGCAAGAAACTCGGGGCCATTGCTGCATCAGGGTACAGTGGTACTTCGGCACATTGCGACCTGGGCAGAAACAACGCAACAGCCCGACATTCCAGTAACACATGTTGTCAGGTAATTCCAGAAGTGTCACTCTGGGTCCTAAGCTGAACTCATCACACGCGCCGCAAAAGTAAGGGTCCAACCGAAGCCAAGATTCTTCCACCCGCTAGTGTGTGTTGTTGGGCCTGCTTTGTTTCCAGTCGCTCAGTCTGAGTGGGGCGTGCGACGATTCTCCTTTCGAATCAGTGACATGCCATCGCATGGGATGCGGCGCCGTGCACTTGAATCCAGTACTTGGGCATGAGTTACAACAAGCGCACGCCTTCCAAACGTCTGAGTTTTAGGCCGTGGATTCACTTCAGTCTCCTCGTTCGGAAGTCCCGAGGTCGGTGAATTTGCTGTCTGCTGTCGAAAGCACAACGAAGAAGTGGGTGAAGCCAGCTTCTGAGGGCAATTCTTGCAAGAAGGAAGCAGTACGCAGAGCAGAATGCACAACCGCGTCTGGGTTAACCTCAACAGCAGGTGGGTTGAAGGATTGGGTGAAATATATGCGCCCATTTGGACCCTTGATGCAGCCGATAGAGGCCTATAGCAAGTGCAAGGAGACCGGAACTCGTCAAAGATGGTGCATATGGTTTGTAAACAGCGCGACTGTCCGAAAAACCATGGCATAAGCGCAATTCCAACCCTGCTGCATGATTGAAAGAGGTTTGCTGGTGATTGTTATCATTGGTGACAGGCTAGGCTGCTCAAAGCGACAAGCGTGGTATTTCTTTTGAAAAGATATACAGCAATTAACACTGAAAAATGGACCGCTGATGCGTAGAAGGGAGCTGGAACTTCTCAAGAATGGTGGATAACGACAAACACGACGCTAAACGAGAATGAAAACCCAACAAGAAACATCTTCTAGAAATATATACATACACATGGCCGAGCTAATTTTCCGCGCTCTTCGCAACTCTTGAAGCTGGAGGGCAAGTTTCAGAAGATCTTAAACGGTTTTCATCACATAGATATTGGGTATATATTGTGGGTGTAAAGCCAACAAAACATGGGGTAAAATTTACAGTAAACCGATATATCAGCTGCAAATGGGCTATGGGTCTCACCTCTGCCGCGGACATGAAATGGATAACCTGGACACCGCGAGGCCCGTTTCTGGGCAGTACCTGCCAAAAACAAAGGGGGGGGCCACAGCCGACGAAGGGAATCGAGGGTCCTCACCTGCGCGACAAACGCGGTCCATGTGCGGGGCTGTCGCAGCCGCGCGCCCTTTATGGGGCAGAAGCGGCACACCTCCGGGGTGTAGCTCGCTTCTTCTGCTGTCCACAGCAGGGTGAGCAAGGATGGGGGCTTGAACAGCACCTCATCCTCTGACGCCCACATGGACAGCGCCGAGAGCGGAATCCCGCTCTTCGAGACGCTGCCCTTCGGGAAGACCTGACAAAACAACCCAAGCCCCCGCAGAACCAATGAGAATCAAGTCACAACTCACCATCATGATCGGACAGTCGATGGGGTTGGAAGGGCTGGTGGCCATCCACCCTGTCTCGATCATCCTGCAAAGCCAATATACGGGCAAGGATAAAGCATTTCCTGCCTTTGATGTCCTGCGGCCAGCAAGGGGGAGTGCGTCCACTCCCCTGACAGGGTCTGGTTTGGCGGTGTCAAGGCTGTTAGCCTTGAACAATGCTCCATCATAATGGAGTGGAGCCGCCCAGCAAGATCGCCCGCACGCCAACCTACGCGCATCAAATCCAATGAACATGACATTATGGCCTTCCACGCTCCAGGACACCGGCTGGAAAGAACTCCGGCCCATGTACAAGAACCTGTTTCACCACCTTTTCTCCGCTCTGCACAACTCTGTGTTCTTCCTAACTTGGGGCCTTTACTTTTCTTCCACCTGCCATTGAGCGCATGTGATCCCGTAGCCCCGTACACAGGAAAACAATTATATGCCAGCCATACCTGACGACACATAAGCCAGGATAAACAAGTGTTTTTTCCCGAGAGCGTAGCGAAGGGTTCTCGTTTAACTCTGGGGGTCTGGGGGTAGAGCCTTGTTCGCGACCCGTTGTTTCTACGTTCGCAACCGTCCGCAACCGTTCGCAACCGTCCGCAGGTGTTCGCAGTAGAGCGCTAAGGCGCTGCCATTGGGGGAAGCTTTTGCGAGTGACTTTTCATGGATGTGTCACGGGTCAGTTTGCGGCGCTATTCCATTGTGATTTGCATGAAAATGACATGTCGCGCAAGAAGCGTGATGCATTTCGCTGCACAGGCGCAGCGTTTTGTGAGATCCGCAGTTTGCTACGCAGTTCCATTGGGATTGGGGGAGAGTCGTGTGTTTGGGGTGTTGGATGTGGCTGTGCCATTGGGATTTGCGTTTCAGGGCGTGGCATCGAAGCTCTGTTTTCGTGACAAGTCTCAGCTGAAATGCCGATTTTGGTGGATGGGAGTATATGCTCAGAACGGGTCGAAATCATTCCAAACGTGTGGTGTGGTGCGAATTTTGTTGAAGCTGACATGGTCACTTTTCGTGGCAGGCGCTGTACTTTGTGTGGGTTTTGAGGCGCGATTCTCGTGGCAGGCGCAGGGAATGGTGAGGTTGCGAGGTGTGACGGAGGTGACATTTCGTGGCAGGCGCAGTACTTTGCGCGCGTTAGACGTGTGGATGCGGAAAGATTCGTGGCAGGCGCAGGGAATTGTGAGGTCGTGAGTTGTGGTAGAGGTGAATGTCGCTGTCACAGTGGGATTGGCGTGTGAACGGGTGTTGTTTGGAGGGGCTGGACTCGCGAAACTGCTTGGCAGGGCTGCGTGATGCGTGCGCTCTGATGGGTGTTTCCGCTTGACTTTTGGAGGAAGTCTCGTGCGAAATGCTTGTATTTTGCAGACTTTGACATGTGAGTTTTGGAGGACGTCTCGTACGAAACGCTCGTTTTGGAGACTTAACACGTGACTTTTGGAGGATGTCTCGTACGAAACGCTCGTTTTGGAGACTTGACATGTGACTTTTGGAGGATGTCTCGTACGAAACGCTCGTTTTGGAGACTTAACACGTGACTTTTGGAGGACGTCTCGTACGAAACGCTCGTTTTGGAGACTTAACACGTGACTTTTGGAGGAAGTCTCGTACGAAACGCTCGTTTTGGAAACTTGACATGTGACTTTTGGAGGAAGTCTCGTACAAAACGCTCGTTTTGGAGACTTGACGCGTGACTTTTGGAGGAAGTCTCGCACGAAGAGTGCCCTATACAAGAGTGTCCCACAAGAGTGTCCTACAAGAGTGTCCCACAAGAGT